TGTTTATGGATTGCTAGTCCAATTGCACTATTTGAGTGGGCATTTTAACTAACTATTCTGGTTGACAATTTGAGTTTTCTTTTCATAACGTTGTTTATTGTGCTTAAAGGATTAAAACATTAGCTGTTAATGTTTGTTATCAAATATATTAAGTTAAAAGCATAAAATTAAGAAATAGTAGTCACAAAGAAAAAGGAAAGGAGCTTCTGGGAGAGATGGAAAGCCTCAAAAAATAAGTTGCAGATATTCAGTAGCTTAAATGTGTATGCGCCACAGGGCCTTGGAATCATGGATCTTTACTGGATTAGATTTAGCAATAATCAATATTGATCAGTAAAACTACAAATGACTTGAGGTCAACACAACATTTTGTGCTTTTGCATTAGTGGAGCAATGGTAAAAAAGAACTAACTGGTCACATCCTAGATCACAAAGAGCACAAAAGGGAGCGAGAGCGAGAAATTTCAATGAAAAGTGAGAGCGGGAGCATTGGCATTGTAATACACATTGTAAAAGAGGATGTCAAAGAATTAAGGAAAGTCTAATGGGCATTTTAGAACAAATTTTATCCTGCATTGGTAGATCATCAAAATGTTATGTGGAAAGACAGCCATTAAGAGGACTGTTGGCTGTTTTGAAAAGTAAGAACAACTTTTTGATTCCACATTGATAGTGTATCAACAAATTCTTTGGTAAGACCGGATTAAAGAAGACAGTAGTAAGCTATTTTGAAAAGTAACTGTGCTCAACTTGGGCCTTGGTCCTTGGTCCATGAGATGGTTGAAAAAGGTTTGTTGGGTTGAGTTCTAACCCATTACTTAGTCCAAATTTTTAGTGTCTGTGGAGTTGACTCCATGAGTTTCCAGTTCACGAATTATTAACATGAAATTTGAATGCGCGAATTTGTGCCAAATTTGCTCTAAATTCGTGGATTTGCATTTGGAGCGTTAATTCGCTGAGGGTAATAGAAGAATCATGTGATCTAGGTCGCATCTGCTAAAAAGGGTTTGATATGGAGTTTGATGCTTCAACATAACATCAAATCTAATTTGTTGGTCTTACTATATTTGTGTTTGCAGACTGTGCTAGATTCCATTGGTTTCTCGATTTGGCAGATGGCTGCTTCAACCTATAATGATATGCAGCTTCATACAAAAAAGGATAATTCTGGGCATTATGAAAATGGGCATGCTGATGGAAAATTTAATGGTGGTGGTGGTGGTGGTGATGATGATGAAACCAGTGAGAGTGAGGATGACGATGACTCTGTTGTGTTACATGAGGAACCTATTATTGAGGATGCACGAGTAGCAATTGCCTGTGATGATGGCTGTGTGCGCATATATAGTATTGATGAGTCGGACAGGTTAAATTACTGTAGATCGCTGCCAAGGGTCAGTGGTGAGAGAGCTGCCCCCTTTGGTCAGATTGCTAATTTTTTATGTTTTTGCTTTAAGGATTAATTTCATCATGATTCATTTGCAGGGCGTGTCTTAAGTGTGACATGGAGTCCCGACGCAAATAGGATATATTCTGGGAGTAGTGATGGGTATGTATGATTGTTGAAGTAGAGCATGTGCAGAAAGCTTGGTATACCTGGTTGCTAAATTTCTGTTACTTGATTCATATGCAATACTAATGTTAGTTTGCAAAGTGGTGAATTTAGGCACATGAATATTATAAAATCACGTGAGCACCAACTTGCATTTCTTGTTTTGATATATTGCTATATTGTTAAGTTTATTTGGTGCAATGTTATATTTTTCAGGTTTATAAGGTGCTGGGATGCTAAATTGGGTCATGAGATCTACAGGATAACAGTTGGACTTGGAGGCTTGGGTAGTGGACCTGAACTCTGCATATGGTCATTACTTGCACTTAGGTAAAAATGATCTTGCTCCCTCTCTCGCCCCATCCTCAGACACACTGTAAATTTTATGGTTTGTAGTTTTTATCACTAAGGACATGGTTCTATGTCGTTGATCCAATCTATGTGTGCTTATGGTTGAGATTGTTGGTTTTAGGTGTGGAACCCTTGTTAGTGCAGACAGTACTGGTAGTGTTCAGTTTTGGGACAGTCAGCATGGAACTCTTTTGCACGCACATTCTTGTCACAAGGGTGATGTGAATGCTTTGGCAGCAGTTCCTAGCCATAACAGGGTGTTCTCTGCTGGTTCTGATGGCCAGGTATGAGACATTGATATTTGGATGTTCATATTACTTGTGCTTTTAGCAGTCCTTTGGCACGTTCACAAGCCCTATACTTAATTGATAAAGGCATTTGAAATGGACAAGTGTAGCAGACAATGCTGTGTTGCTTTCTGTGTGCATTGCCTCAATGCTTGGGCCCATATGTTATGCTTTTACCTGTTTTAAATGTTGAACAAACTGTGTTAGGAACACTTATATGAATCACCCTGGACCAGTAACAAAGCAAATGGTTCTGTTGGTTTAACATTCACATTTGCAGGAAATAGACTTGAGATATATGAATTTAAGTTGTTATTAGTTTGATATCATTACTACTGCTCACTCCACTTTTAGTAACAATGATGTTTAAGAGAGCTGTAATGACTGAGTAAGCTTTATCTTGGTCTGTGCTCGGTTAGGCTTCTCCGGGAGTAAGGCTTGCCAGATCAGAAATGACATGATGGTGTGTTCAACTCAGTTGAGTTGAATTCACAACGAAAATCATGACATAACCCACTGAATATGTCCCCGTTATTCACTGTACAGTAGCACCAAAGTGCTTTGTGGCAGGCTGGTGGTTGCAGAGGCAAGGGAAGAAGAACGTAATATTTTGTGTCCTAAACTTTTTAAATTGGGATGAGGCTTGATCCAAGATCTTTCTTCATTTGAGCTCTCTGGGGGCTTTCTCAATCACTCTCTCCCTCTCATTGGGTTGGGATTCTTGCTACTCCTTTCCTAACTCCATCAAGGAGCTATGTCTTCTTCAAAGACTATCGTGCTGAAGAGATCCGATGCCAAGACCTTCAAAGTGGAGAATTCATTGCCTCGGGGCTACAGACCATCAAGTATATGAACAATGATGACTGTGCTGACAGTCATTCCCCTGCCCAAGAAACACGTTGAAAGCCCCAAGTCTGATGATAAGGATGCTGCCGATGACTTCAAGACCTTTTGCATTGAGTTTCTCAAAGTTGATCTGGATCCTCTTTTTGGTCTCATCTCGGCAGCAAACTATCTGAAAATCAANGATGACTTCAAGACCTTTTGCATTGAGTTTCTCAAAGTTGATCTGGATCCTCTTTTTGGTCTCATCTCGGCAGCAAACTATCTGAAAATCAAGAGCTTGCTAGATCTGACATGACAAACAGCAGCTGACATGATTAAGGGAAAGACTCCGGAGAAGATCTGGACGACCTTTAACATCAAGAATGACTTTACTCCAGAGTCCAGAGGAAGAAGAGGAGATTCACTTGCAGAATGCTTGGGCATTTGAGTGAACCATGAAATTTTGAAGTGTCCATACTATTGTAGGATTGAATACTTGAAATTGGGGCTTACACTATGGTACATTGATGATCTGTTAGTCTTGAGTTTGCTTTNGAAATTTTGAAGTGTCCATACTATTGTAGGATTGAATACTTGAAATTGGGGCTTACACTATGGTACATTGATGATCTGTTAGTCTTGAGTTTGCTTTTTCTGTTATTTTAGTGATGAAAGGTTTACAAATAAACAGCTTGAGGCTTTGACGCCAATTGTGGGGCAACTTAAAAAAAAATATGGCATGTTTTTTGGCAAGGAGAGCTTATATAATATTTAGTTANTTTTCTGTTATTTTAGTGATGAAAGGTTTACAAATAAACAGCTTGAGGCTTTGACGGCAATTGTGGGGCAACTTAAAAAAAAATATGGCATGTTTTTTGGCAAGTAGAGCTTATATAATATTTAGTCAGTAGAAGGGATGGCTTATATAATGATACAGTGAAGATCCGTTTGTTTGTTAGGAGATTAATTTTTCTATGTTTTGAATTACAGTGTTTAAATTATTTTACAAGCTGCTTTAGGTAATTTGATGCTAATTGCAAGAAAGATCCTTCGATGAAGGCGCTCTCTATTTATGCTTGTGTTTGCTCTAATTCAACCTAGAAAAGAATTTACAATATGATTAAGGGTTATTCATGTGGTTTTGTTTTTCTTTTTATTTCCTGGTGCACAAGAGTTTGCTATCTTCAATATACCTTTTTATGCATTGAAATGATTGCGATGCTTCAAGAATTGTTAAAAACATAGCACAGTTTCATCGAGTGTCTGTATATTTTATGTTTCTCTTCATTATTGATCAACTACTATCTGACTTTGGGTAAAGTTTTTTTTTCATTACTTAATACGAGTTCTTGTGTTTTTCTCCCTGGAAAGTATACTAGTTTTTTATGATTATTTATCATGTTCTGATCTAGAATGATTTATCTGATTCTGCTAGGCTCTTTCAGTTGTTTTCTCAGTGATGATAGTTGAGTTGTTGCTGTTTGTAGGTTATACTTTATAAGCTTGGTGGCGAAGTAGTTGGATCTGGGGATGACAGGTCTTCTAAAGTGATGAAGAAATGGGTCTATGTTGGTTATGTGAGGACTCATACACATGATGTGAGGGCATTGACCATTGCGGTACCTATAAGTCGAGAAGGTTTGACAATGTCAATGGTTTCTGAGCTTCCGTCCTGAGTACAGCTAAATATTGTCTTTTCTCACTTTTCTTTTAGCTGTATCAATCCTTTACTATTTATTTTCCTTTGGCAGATGTGTTGCCTGATGAAAAGGTGAAAAGGGTTCGGGGTAGGGAGAAGCCACTTGATTTTAGTTACCGTAAGTGGGCTCATTTAGGGGTTCCCATGCTTATCTCAGCTGGTGATGACACTAAACTTTTTGCATATTCCGCCAAGGAGTTCACGAGTTTCTCTCCGCATGATATCTGCCCTGCACCAAGCAGAGTACCTGTTCAGCTAGTGCTTAATACGGTGTTCAATCAGGCTCCTTTGCTTCTAATCCAGGCTTCTCACTGGTTATATATTTTTTGTGTTCGTACAAAAAAGGGTGCGGTTCCTAATGTTGCTTCTGCACCTTCTGGTGGTGTTGCTACCACAGATTTGGTGGCTCAAGTGAAGTGCAAGGCATCTCGGAAGATTATTTGCAGCACTATTTCTCCTTCAGGGTTGTTTTTTGCTTATTCTGATCATGTGAAACCCAGCCTGTTTGAGTTGAAGAGGAGTGAAGTCGGCAAACGTGTATGGACTGTTAACAGAAGGGGACTTCCTCTGAAACTACCATTTGCCCATACGATGGTTTTCAGTTCTGATTCTTCTCGGTTGATGATAGCAGGGCATGATAGACGGATATATGTAAGCCTTCTTGTTTTGTGAAATTTTTTGGTAGTCATTGTTCTTGATGAGCATACTCTATTTCATTCTTCATCGTTAACTCTTGTATAGATATTGTATATTAAATTAGAATCAAATCTCCACTCTAAAACTAGGAAGGGAGTGAGGGAAGTGACGTCATGTTATGCAATATGCACAATATTTTGGATCAATACAAGAGACTGTCATGAGTTGGACAGCAGCAGAGTTCCACTTGAGAAGCAAATAGGCTATAAATGGAAAGATATGTTTTAATCAGGAATTCCCGTGTAACTGAAACAAAGAGGAACTCACTGCTTGTTATACACAAATTTATGGATTAATGCAAGAGAGCTTACAACGAATGGCAGTATCAGAGCCTACATACAGAGAAAAATGGGCTACAAACTGAAAGATGTGTCTGCATTGTGTTTGCATGTTGTGAAGTAAGCTCAGGTATATAACTACATAAATTAGGCAGAGAGGGGTAACGTTTTCAAGCAGAATATGGGATGAGAGTAACTGTACTGAGTGGGCCCACAGGCTATATCTGTATTATTCCATAATGTGAAATCACGTATTTAAGTTAATGAATTTGATGGAAAAGAAGTGATCTTCTTAACCAGATAATGGGAGGAGAACTGTAATAAGTATCCAAGTACATGAACATGCAATTGTATTTCTTTTGATTATTGCAAACTTGCATATTATAATCTCTTGATTTTTACAAAGGATAGTTATGTTGGCTAGATTTTACTATACAGGAGTTTCAGCTTAAAAGATGTTTTCAGTTTTCTCCTCTTAAAGTTGGCCATTGTGAATGTTCAGAGTCCAACACCTCAGTCTAATGACCATGCCNTTTTGATTATTGCAAACTTGCATATTATAATCTCTTGATTTTTACAAAGGATAGTTTTGTTGGCTAGATTTTACTATACAGGAGTTTCAGCTTAAAAGATGTTTTCAGTTTTCTCCTCTTAAAGTTGGCCATTTTGAATGTTCAGAGTCCAACACCTCAGTCTAATGACCATGTCATTTTGAAATATTACTTGTGGTCCTGAAATTGTCCTCCTCGTCCCCTTTCTTATTTTGCTTCGTGTGTGTGTGTAACTGTGTATGCATGCCTGTGGTAACTTCTCCTATTAAATGTCAAGGCTAAAGGCCACAACAAAGCAGTGTTGATCTAGACAAAGTAGAATTTGGGTCAGATTCATATATAATTTCTTATGCAACTTCTAACCTGTCTCCTTGTAACACAGGTTGTGGATGTGGAAAGCTCAGAATTAATCCATGCCTTCACACCTTGTCGTAGAGAGCATGATGAGGAATTGCCACCTAGTGAGCCTCCCATAACAAGAATGTTTACCAGTTCCGATGGGCAGTGGCTGGCTGCTATCAACTGTTTTGGAGATGTGTACATTTTTAATCTAGAAATACAAAGGTGCGACCATGAAAGCTAACCTTTCAAGATAATATTAAATAATTTTTCTGATAATCTATTGTTTCCATATATATATGTGTATGAGGTCTCCGGATATGAACAAAGCAGCGAATAAAGATGTGTTTGATACTTCTCTCTAGAATATAGCATGTGAACATCCTTCACTTGCCCCACGTCATACACCATGCCTATTATATCTAGTCGTTTCAATGCTCAATATGACTATTATGTTTCGCGAGCAGGCAGCACTGGTTCATATCAAGATTGGATGGTGCCTCTGTTACAGCTGGCGGTTTTACACCTCGAAACAGCAATGTGCTTATAATCTCCACCTCTTCAAACCAAATTTATGCGTTTGATGTGGAGGCCAAACAGTTGGGGGAATGGTCCATGCGTCACACATTTGTTCTGCCCAGGAGATACCAAGAATTTCCTGGAGAAGTCATCGGGCTTTCATTTCCGCCTACCTCAAATTCGTCATCTGTTATCATCTACAGTGCCAGGTACACTCCTTTCTTTCTTGTTTGACAAAAATGTGGTTGAGCCTAAAACTTAACACAGCCTTGTCTCAACTAATCCGGAATGGCTGTATGAGTCCTGTTCCTCCTTTGTTCTTATACTTTGTATTTTTGTTGGTATCTGGCTGCACTTTCATAGCCTCTATGAAAGGATTAATGATCCTTTTTCTTATAGGTTATGGCTAGGTAATTGAAGGTTCTTGTGTGTATGTGTGTTTTTATTTGGATTGGGTGTTTTTGGATTCCCTTTTTTTTTTTTTTTGGGGAGGGGGGGGGGAGAGGAGTCTGTTAGGATTGAGGATGGAATGTACACTGAGAACTAATTTTAGAATTATTTTGTGCTGATTGGCCCCATTCCTTTAAATGTCCTCATAAGGGTGTTAATCAAGCCAAGCCTTTCGAGCTTGGCTATGTGTAGGCTCGGTTCAGCCTACTCAAGAAATTATTGAGCTCTGCTGCTGAGTTCAATGGCTCTTCAAGCTCAGCTCAAATTGAACTCAAGCCAAGCTCAAACAAAAATGTGCCTTTAAAAAAAAAAAATTCCAAATACCCAATCGAAAAATTTCTCATAAAACACAAGAAATCTAAATCTAAACTAAAATCTGACTGTCAAAAACTTCTACATCACAGTTGAATATGCACTCTGTTACACCCTTTGTCCAAAAACATGAAGGATATATGTAATGAATATTTATGGTGTACTAAATCTTTGGACTCATGCTTGTTTTTTCTAGGGGTTGGATTAGAGAAAAAGAATGCATTGGGGGAGAGAGATAGATGATGACCTAATAAGGACCAAAGAGAGAGATACATGATTGGGTACAAAAAGGTTTGTTTGTATAGAGAGAGAAAGAGAAAACAAGGGGGGGGAATACTATGAAGGAAAGAGAAGAAAGAGGTTGAGAGAAAGAGGCAGAGGGTTTGCGTCTTAAGGGTTTTAATTATTGCAAGGGGGGAGAGAGGGGAGAGAGGAGAGAGAGAGAAGTGGGTAGTCCACCTGATGGCAGTTAGCAAGCAATGGTGGAAGCCATGTGATGGAAGAGACTACACTTGCTTTAAATTGCTTGAAATGGGTTTTTTATTTGCTAATTTTACCAGAGTATCATTCTAACTCTTAAGAATTTATAAAAGAGTTTGATATAAGTATAAAAACCGAGCTGGCTAGCGAATAGCTTGTCAAGCTTAAAGAATTGTTCATATTTGGCTTGTTTTACAATATGAGTGAGCTTGAATGAGTCAAAAATCAGCCGAGCCCAACCTGAGCTACTTGGATCTTTAACAGTCCTAACCTCCTCAAGGAAGTTATCCCGAGTTTAAGTTACTTTGGAGGTCTTCAATGGAGATTGATCAGCCAGGATCAAGGTGTTCAACTTTCTATACAGAGAGTTGTAGAAGTTGAGGTGATGACCCGTAGGAGTTCTAGTTGAGATATAATCGGCTGGATTAGGGCATACTGCACATTATGGTTGGCTTGGCTTGGCTTGTTTACAAATGATGTCGGATGAGCTTGTAATCAAGTTGATCTTGATTCCAGTTTGTATGGTCTGGTTTGTCTAGTGGTTATGTGCGCATGACTCCGTGAGCATACATTGCCCTAGGTTGGTTTATCCCATGAACGATGTTTATGGTGTAACTGATGCCTACAGTGTGTGTGTGTGTGTGTGTGTGTGTCTATTTTGAAGATTAAATATAAGTTGTTAGTCTAGAATTTTTGGCCAATGGAGACCATCTTTTACAATACATTCCTTGTGACCACAATGGAAAAGAACTTAATTCCTCTCGACTCCTTTGGGAACACGTCCTGTTTTCCGCTACCTGTTCTTCTGGATGGCATCTTGTTGATTTTTACTTTTCCAAAAATCCTATCATGACAGTGGATGCTGATGTTATTGAAATGGTTTATGCTTTAGGGCAATGTGCTTGATTGACTTTGGGATGCCAGTTGATGGAGATAACGATGGCGATGTGGTCAATGGTCAGGATTCAGTGTTGAGAAAGTCACGAAATCCTCCCATTAATGGATTATTAAAGCGTAGGTTGAAAGGCCACGATTTAGAAACTAAACATAGTGGTAGAAAGAATTTTGAATTTTGTGCTTTTAGAGATCCTGTTTTATTTGTTGGACATCTTTCGAAAAATTCTGTCTTGATCATAGACAAACCATGGATGGAAGTGGTTAAAACTTTCGATGCCCAGCCTGTTCACAGACATATCTTTGGGACATAACTGCTCCTCAAAGATGGTCAGTATATTTACAGCCAAAAAGGGGGAGTTCAAATGTGGCAGGTGACCCCTTCTCCTTGATGTCACACTTTCTTCTCTGTGGTTGATGGGGGTCTCAAGCATGTTGTGTAATGTATTCCTTGATATTTTTTTTTAACATATTAATGCAATTTTTGTTTTATTTGAAATTTTAACTTAACAGTTATTAGTTGCTCACCTTGTTCGACCATGAGGCTTTTTTTACCAGTTTTGAGGCTTCACAAAATATTGAATTTCTTTTTTTCATGAAGAATCTTTCAAAGATTATGGTTGATACCAAAAGTGCCTGATTGATTTATTTGCCTGTAGATAATATATAATTTTAGTGAGATGCAAAAGAGAGGTTTGTCTGTATATTTTTTTTGGGCATGTTATCATGTGTACAGCTGCAAGAGAAAAAAAAAATAATGGAAAAAAGAAATAATCCTTAAACTATATGCAAGCTTCCATTATTAATCTTAGTCATTCATCATTTGTCCTCATAAATTTTGCCATGCAATGACTTGATGACTAGCATAATCTTACCAGTGAATTTTGCCACGATATGACTTGCATGTAAAAATAAGAAAATTGTCTGTATCCGAGAGTAATTAATTGGGTGCCCTACGAGATTCTGAGATGTATTAGTTATCCATACAAGTGAAGTGCTTCCAGAAAAGGTTCTTTTCAGATTAAGTGGCACAAAAGGCAAGTCAAGAAGATGTGACATTCTTAGTTGACTATGCATAGAGAGAGATTTTAATAATTATTGGAGGACTTGTTTGGGGATTCGCCTTCAGCCAGCTCGGTTGATGGCGTGAAAGGGTTCAATTTCATGGGACTAAGTCGGTGGTAAGAAATTCACCATCCATCATTAGCCCCAATTATGAAAGACAAGTTGCTTGTGGCAAGCAAGAAGATGACGAAAGGTGCTACTAGCAGCCAAGTCAATGGAAGGAAGTTGTGTGATATTCCAACATTTTTGCACACTTCTTTCTGCATTTACCTATCACCCTCTCGTCTATGGACTGACTAGCTGGCAAGCATAAGTATCATTGACCAGTTTTTATCCGGGCAAATTTTAAATTAATTCCGTGTGGTTTAAATTCATCAATATTTTTTTATTTGGTTCAACGGGCAAGGTTATTTTGATCAGTTTATGTGTAACTCAATTAATTCTTTTCTCAGTCCGGTCAAAGCCAAGTTATTCACGTCGAGATTAAGGTATATCTCTTATGGTTTTGCTCTAAGGTGTTGTTAAGGTTTAAATTCAAAAAGTCTAAAGGTTTACAGTTTGTTTCGATTATCACTTAAATTGTTTAATTCATCAATATTAACATAATTTTATAGTTATCGAAAATTTCATACACCCTATTTTTAATAATGTCACACAGAGTATAAACGTAATTTTGACACACTTTTGTTTATTAAAGATATTATAAATTTTCACAAAATTCGAAGGAGACCAGACGCAATTATAACTGCACAATATTTATAGAATTATTGAAAATTTTGTATGTATGACCTTTTTGTTGCCTCTTTTTGTACGTCGTGAGATATATAATACACTTTCAATTAATGTTCTTCTAATGAAATCATAGTTATAAAAAAGTGTTGAAAATTAATATTTAAGGAAAGAAATAGTAGAATTAATAATATAATTTATTAAATTATTTTAGTTTGCCTCATTGTGTATAAACTTCTAGTTCTGCCCCTGACTACAATAACCAATCATATAAATCAAGTAGAGTGCTGCAGTGAGAATAAAGCCTGGAATTATTTAACCCAAATTACTCTCCATGGAAATTCTAAGAAGGGTACTAGGAAGATAGATTGTCGGGCCACAGAGATGGGGTCCATGGGACGTATTGTCATTTTCCAAGATAAGGGGTCTAATTTCAGGATGAATTTTCTTCAATAAAAGATCCAAACAAACATAATAATTGTATCTGTATATAATGTATGGGGTCGTATTTTCAGTCGGCAAGGTGGGCCCAGTCCTTTAGGCTTCTTAGAAGAAAATGACACTAAATGGGTCACATTTTTTTTTATCTAATTTAAGGATCTTGTCTTTTTTGTAAGGTAAAATTCGATCATCGTACGGAGTCATTAGCTTGCGTGGTAAACTGATAAGTACGAGAAAATGGCGTCTTGTTTCCATTGTGTCATGCAAACATCAACGCAATTATGTTGGATGTTGAGTGATTCTTTTGGGTTTGTTTGAATTGATATTATTGATGGATGGCATTAGTGGATGCCATGCCAACCAAAAATATGTGTGGCTTGAGATTTGTGGACATAAAAAGATATTGTAATATGGGGAATTTATATTTTGGAAAATGTCTAATATATGTTGTACTTAAAATTAATTTATTTCTAAATGTTAAAATCCTATAAAAAAATTATTTTTTAAACGTATTATCGTGGTGGTGCAAGAATTATGCTAATCCTTTTTGTGTCATTCTCATTCTATCGAATGTCTATAAATAGACGGTGTCACGAGACAAAAATACAAAAATTTTGGTGATGTAACTATGTTATCATCACCATCTTCTCATCATAAAAGGATAATTTTTTGGTGACATATCTTTCCTCGTCAAAGCATTGATTAATTGTAGCAAAATTTTTAGAATAGAGAAAGATGAGTTTGGTATTTAGCGACTTTATATGAAATTTTTTTGTTGGGTTTTGGTCATGAAATATTGTGTAGCAAATTAGCTAGCTTTGGTGGCGAATATGTTTTCCTCGCTAAATGCATCCTTTTGGTGATGGAATTAATTGGTAATTAATCCCGGATGTAGTTTAAGTGATAATAGGGACAAACTATAAATTCATACGTCTTGAGTTTAAATTTTGACAACCTCTTGAGACCAGACATATCTCATGAATATACTAGTCTTAGCGTTGACAACTTGCCTTTGATTGGACTGAGAGGGGGATTAATCGAGGTGTGCGTAAGCTAGTTCGGACACCTTGGCCGTTAAACCAAAAAAAAAAAATTTAATTGGTAATTCGTCGCCAAAATTGTTGTGAGCTATCTCGACCATCTGGACGACAAGATTGGATTATTTATTTATTTTTTCTTTATGAATATTTTCTCTCACTTGATGGCTAAGAGTGTGTATTAATTCGAGTATTTAAGATGACACATGATTGGAGTCCATGCCACTTTCACTAATGTTTTTTTTAAGAGCAAGCATATTATATAATTGTATTCGTATTTAGTGGTAGATCAGTTGGCAAGTTGACAACCTGATCTGGATGTTAGTAAGTTCTCATCTGATTAGATGTTCAAGGATTTGCAGATAAGGTTAGGCCTTCTTTAGGCTTGGTTAGCTTTAAATGAGAAAACAAGGTTTGAATTTGCCATGAACTCAGGGCTCGAGGACTGGTTGGTGAAAGAACCCCAATTAGCGGATGAGTTTATTCGTGACAATCAAAGGTTTAATCGTCCAATAGTCAAGAAGTTTTGGGAGACAGGAAGATGATGAGGTTAGTAAGGTTGTTGGTTCATTTACCTATTTTACTATTCCATATCTTGAAAGAAGATTGTATACGTAAATGTTTTGGTGAATAATATCCCATGCACTTCGTTACATGAACATTATAAGTGGTATTTAAAGGCATAACTCTACCTTATTTGATGCATTTTCCCTCTTACTTTCTCAAAATTTACGAATGAACCTAAGTTTTGTTTTCCTTTAATGTGAAGCGATAAATTCTTTTTTGTTCGTGTTTTGGCCCCCTTCAACTAGAAACCTGGCCCCGCACCTGTTTGTGAGGTGATGAGTTATAATCTTTAATGGTTGGTACTACAGCTACAAGAAGAGTGTGCCACCAAGTTGTTATAGGCATAATTGGAAGATTGAATCTATTACCAATTTATCAAATTTATTTATCAATTTACTGCCGTTTTCAACTTATTTAGCAAACTATCGCTGTTTTAAAAATAAATTTGGCAAATACGATTTCATGGAGAAAACGGATTTGACAAATCTGACTTCATTTGAAAAACGGATTTGACAAATCCGACTTTATAGGGAAAGTGAACATACCAAATCTGACTTCATTTAAAAAGCAGACATATCAAATCCGTTTTTTGTCTCAACTAGTAACTTTTAATATTTCATCTAATTTTCTTACTGGGATACCATCCGAAATTCTTGACTTTATATATTTTCTCCCTAAAAAATAAATTACTCATTTTTATCATATATTTAATTATTTAATATTTGATTATTTTGTAATTAATATATTTTAAAAAAATTTAATATAGTGGGATCGATTGTTTGGATGATCGAATTTTATATTTTATTGTGCCTTCAGACACGGGTTATAACTAATAAATTTAGATAGAATCTATTAGTGAATTTTTGACGACTAATAAATGTGAGTAATTTATTCACAAAGAATATAAAATCAGAGAGACCAAACGTATTCAATAAATAGTCAAATACTCTTTTGGCGATCAACACAATTATACATATAAAGGCTTGCACCTTGGTAAATTTGCTTTCCATATAAATGTGGATTTAGTATGTCCACTTTTCATATAAAGACGGATTTGGTATGTCCGTTTTTCCTATGAAGTCGAATTTATCAAATCCGTTTTTTAATTGAAGTTGGATTTGTTAAATCCGTTTTCCAAATGAAGTCAGATTTGTCAAATTCGCTTCTCAAATGAAGTCAAAATTTTTCAAATTCGTTTTCTCTATGAAGTCGAATTTGTCAAATTTGCTTTTAAAACAACGATAGTTTGATAAATAAGTTGAAAATGACAGTAGATCGATAAATAAGTTTGATAAATGAGATATATTGGTAATAGATTCTTGGAAGATTCCCCTTCCATGGGGTCTCCAAAACCTCCCTAAACTACGGGCACAGCCGCACAAAGGACTGATATTAAGCCACTAGATGGCGATTTCAGGGTCTAGCCCAAGCATCTCAGCGTAACTCTAGGTAAATATGCCCAAGTATTCGTTAAG